ATATATATATATATACAAATATATATATACAAATATATATATATATATATATGTGACTTCTATACTGTCCAATGATGGCCTCTAAGTAACATTAGAGGATTCAACCTATTACTTTGTGCTCAAGTGGGCCTATTCTCAATACCTGGTACACCTGGTACAAGAAGAACGTTGTTAGGTCATAGCGTCTTGCCAAATCCACCATATTCGCTTTCCATATATGACTCTCAAGAAGTCAAGAGAAGTCCTGAAGAATCACATCATATGCAATACATTATCATAATAAAATCAAGAGTATTGCATACTTAATCATAATTGTAAAACTTTTATCAAGAGTTTTCAAACCATTAACGATATCTGTAAAACAGATATACATATCTCGAATAGTTTCCCTTAGTTCTATTTGAAAAAATTAAAAACTATACATCAAAAGATTTATTTTCGATTTTTTAACCCTATTTATGTCGTGTGTGATTTCAAGAGTGTGCCAAATGTCCTATGCAATTTCACAAGTCAAAATACAATTAAACTCATTTTTATTCAAAGCACAAAACAAAGCATTTATAGCTTTTGTATTTAACGAAAATAATATTTTCTCAAAGTCATTCCGTTCAATCATAGGTTTAGAGGGTTGTTGAAAATAATATTTGATAATATTTCATAAATCAAGGTTTAAAAAAATAAGAAAACTCTCATTCGTGTTTTCCAATATGTGTAGTTCATTCCATTGAACATAGAAGGACAAATGGTCCCATTGAATATGGGAGGACAAATGATAAAGAGTGGACAAATGGTCCCATTGAACCACTATAAATTTCGTATGTTCTTTTCCTTATTGCTTACTTAGCTGCTCACTTCATTTGATAATTTTAATAAGTCAAGCTTAAATACTTTTTGATACGGGCTTTATCGAAATGATTTTTTTTGAATGAGTTTTCAAATCTATATAATTTTTACGTAAGCACTAATTCATCCTCCCGTCTCTTAGTGCTCATTTCAGTTTTCAGTCCTAACAGAACCTCTTTAGATGATGGAGCACATTCAAAAAATTAAAAACTAAAAGTTGATTTCATACCATGTCAAGATTATTAGCAAGCTTCTCAAATTAGCTACAAAATTAAGATTTACATTCATCTAACTTTAGGTCCCCAATTATCCCCACAATTTTTCCAATCATCCTCACCTACGATCCTCCGATCATCTCAAATTACAAACATTACATTATTGAAGCAATCTTAATCAGGAATGTACAACTACAAGAAGCGATTAAGGACTAAAAGGAGAGAATGAATGAATCATATTTAATGTTTCTGAGAAAAAAAAAGAGAGGGAAAAGCGAGAAAAATCCGATCATCTTGCGACCAGTTGTGTTAGAGTATAATCAATTTAGCACTGGCATATTTTATAACTATACAAAAAGAATAGTTGTTTATTTCTTAGAATAAGAATTATCACTTAGAGTTGATGCATATAAAGAATCATTTAGACCAAATACTCAAAACTCCACAAATATTTCTAAGTAGGACCTTTTTAGATAATAGAGCACCTTCAAGAA